CTGGTCGGCTGGTGCGCTGGAGCGGGTAAGAGGCGCGGCTGGCTCAGGTGGAGCGCCGCTGGTCGGCTGGTGCGCTGGAGCGGGTAAGAGGCGCGGCTGGCTCAGGCGGAGCGCCGCCGGTCGGCTGGTGCGCTGGAGCGGGTAAGAGGTGCCACTGGCTCAGGCGGAGCGCCTCTGGTCGGCTGGTGTGCTGGAGCGGGTAAGAGGCGCGGCTGGCTCAGGCGGAGGGCCGCTGGTCGGCTGGTGCGCTGGAGCGGGTAAGAGGCGCGGCTGGATCAGGCGGAGCGCCAGCTGGCGCCGGGCAGACCGGTCGGGGTGCGGGTGTCGCACGACGTCGTGTACCTCGCGATTTGGGAAGCTCGTGTTGCCTGGCCTACGCGCATTTCTATCCATTCGACATCCGTCAATACGTCAACGTCGAAGGATAGGAAGAGATCATTCTTTTCGCCCGCTTAAGTCAGAGTGGCAAAATCCCATACAATGTCGCTATATCATCAAGGACGTGACACAGCAAGGTTGAAATAGATGTGCAGTCGCGGTTATGTCTTCGTCGACGGGTCATTTCTTCCTAACACGCCATGAATGTCTGAAGCCCGACAGAAGCGCAGCACCGCACACTCGCCTCATGCCGAGTTCGTTGCAGCTGCGCGCGGAGCTGATCGCGCTGCCCTCTGTCGACGAGCGCATCGGTCACGTGACGGCGGTGTTGGCCGGCTCGGGCCGGTTCAGCGACACTGAGCCGCTGCAGGTGAGCTGGCCGGCGAGCGGCTCGCCGCCGGCGAGCCGCCGCGCCGGTCTGGGGGACGGGCGCGCTGGGGGCCGCCGGCGGACGCCGCCGCGCCGGTGTGTGGGGACGGCCGTGCCGGGGGCTGCCGCGGTGTGTCGCCAGCTGTGTGTCGCACGCGGCTTCGGATGTCAAGTTCGGCCCTAGTTGACGGGACGAGTAATTTGTTACCGGGGGATTCATCTCGTGCAGGACGATATTTGTGGGGATATTTCCGACAGCGGCGCCGTTCGCGGCCCGTGCCTTCATCGACGGCACGTGAGGCCGGACGCCCGCGGCGCCGGCGGCCACAGCGGGTCACGTGCCCCCTCCCCGCCAACAGGAGATCGTGCAACCGCATGCTGCTGCGGATCCTGGCGGGACACGCCTACCAGCCTCAAGGTCAGCTGAGCACGCCCGTCACGCTGGTCAAGGCCCAGCACAACGGACCGTGGCGCCGCCCTCGGCGAAGATTATCAACTTAGTCAGGTTCGTCCGCCGCTAGGTCGCGTCACTGCTGGGCCATGTGGCTCCGTTTTTTCGTGCTCCTTTTAAACCCGCGGTAGGCACAATGCGTGCGAGACCTTTGTTCTTTAGGGCAGCGTACCTGAGCTGCAACTATAACACATCTGTCTTACGCTCCTGAGCATAGCGACAGGACTCCCTCAGTCGCGCGCAGTTGACTTGGCCGGGCCCTGACCTCTTCCGCACGGCCCCCGCAGCGTACGAACAGGCCGGCTGGGTCGCCGTTCTGACGCTGCTGTGGCATGTGTTGCAGTTCTGCAGTGGCCCCGTGACCGTGCACTCGGTGGCGGGCAACCACGTGACCTTCCTCAAGGGTTCTCGGCCGGCCGCGTGGCAGGCGCTGCTAGCGGCCGCGGCTGCCGCCGACCAGTAGCCGGGGGCATCGCTGGCCTGCGCTGTCCGCGCCCGGCAGCGGCCCGCTGCCGCTCTGAAGCTGCACCTCACGAAGTGCTCCGGCCGGCCGCGGTGACGACAGTGGCGGAGTTGTGATATGTTCGTACAGGGACCAGACGAGGAACGGCGTGTTGGGCTGCTTCGCCACCCGTCAGGCAGTCGGAAACGTTGCGTTGTTTATTTTGGTTTACGGGGACGTGGGGCGGAGGTGATCCCGGGGGGGGAGGGCGCCGCGCGCGGAAGCTAACCTGGCCTAGAGTGGAGCCAGAAGCGTTGTTGCGAGGTAGCATCGGCCGCGATAACGTCTACGCATCCCGGCTGGACCCTCCGGTCCCAATGCATCTTTACATTCCGGCTTCTCTGCGCCCCAGAGAGCCGACAATTGTGCCCGCAGAGGCTTACGAACGCGTGCATTACCGACTAATGGGCTTACCCCCAGCAGGCAATGGATTTGTCAGTTTTCCCGATCCAAAACCCTTACTGAGCAAGGTGACAATGGGCACAAAGGCACGACTTCGTGACACACGGTGTCTGGATTAGGCATGGATTTTATGTTGCAAATTTGTTTTTTAACCCGCGGCCTTCAGGTACACAGCCGATTTGTTGTGGCGCGGTGATGTGACCGTGAAAACGCATGTGTAAAACAGGCGCGCACAGCTCAGTTGTGATCACATGGGACCACGCGATGTGGAGAAGCAGTGCGAGTTACTTTGTGG